AAGAGGTCCTACAAATCCCTCACCAGACATGCCGATGCTCACTAACAGCACCACAATAACCGTCAACATCGTAACATGCCAGCTACTCAACCACGTCTCCCACGTATGCCAGCTGCAGGGATCAACATGAGTGGAAATCCTGCTGGTTCCGAAATACCACATGCTGAAGCTGCAGGAAGGTCAGCCGCATCACCCGAGCATGTCGGGTCAAGGGACACCAGAGGCATCCAGTGGCAACCACCAACCCTACGAACTCAACACAACGTCCGTTCAGCAGCACCAGGTACTGCACTTACCCCAGGGTTCCCCCAATAAAATTACCGTGACTGTCTTAATTGAGTCCTCCCTTTCAATCATTTTGGAGGACACGTTTAAGAGACTATGCCCAAACAGGGGTCCCCCCCCCTGCAGCCTGTCGGGTTTACACTACGGGATTTTTCAAAGAATGAATTGCCCATTTTGGGGGAGGGAAAGTTCAGGGTGCAGTACCACAACTTCAAAGGTCTGCTGGACTTGCTTGTGGTTAAAAGGAAGTGCACGAGCCTCATTGGACTGGCATGGCTTGAGCCGCTGGGAATCGTGATGACCGGGGTGAACCTCATGAATCAAAAAGACTTTCAGGGTGTGTGCGACAAGTTCCCCACAGTTTTCAATAGGATGCTCGGGCGTTACATCGAGCCACCGGTCACCCTACAGCACACGTCAGGTTGTTCGGGGCCAGCTGGACTCTATCGGGCCAACGGCAGAAGTGCCTGTGGTGGAATGGTCGACCGTAAAGGAGGGCCAGATGGCTGGGGTGTGTAGCGGTGGAAGTGGGGGCGCCTTGCAGAGGTCCCTCCTTCCCCCTGCCCAAGCCAAGTACCATCAAGTGCTGGATGTCTGGACTGCCCGAGCCGAATACCATCAGGCGTGTGGCGACTGAATGACTACTCAGACTGCTGTGTCTTCCCCGACCCAAGCTGATCCCCCTCTTTGGAAGCCGTGCGCTTGCTCTGGGAATGGCGGGGCCCCGTTTCCCCCCCCCCCCGGTGGTCGGGCACTGGAGCAGCGGGACTATAACACCATTGGAGCCTAGTGACCATCTGCGGCAGAGGTGCAGGTTGAGCGGAGGGATATTCCACACCAAGACAGGGCCGGAACAGCGTGGATCAGGGGTCCAGGACCTGCTTGGAATTGCCTCGCGATTGCTCCGGAATCTTGAGAGGGAGAAGGAAAGAGAGCAGGAAGCCCTAGTGGCTGTTACTAGGAGCGGGATATTAGTCCTGTGTGCTAGGATCAATCCACCTGAAACCACCCAAATCATCAGAAGCGAGGAGGCTTGAAGAAGACCAAACCAGACAGGATTGCTGCTACTACACATATATAAATAATACGAAACTTGGTTTAGACTTAATTGATTGGGGGGTAGTTGTTGTTAAATAATTGTTATTTGCCAATAATTGGGGGGAGGGTTGATTTAGAGAGGGTTCAATTTGTTTGTTAAATTGTCCAATTAATTGGGGGGGTTGGATTTAAGGTTTTTACTGATTAATTATGGTCTAACCGCATAACTGGTTATTAGTTTCTAATTAAGTAATTGGGTTCTATTACAAAGAGTCGAATTATATTAGCTGCCCTTGCATTTGATTTATATTATAACTGATTATTGACAATTAGCTTTGGAAATATGCCATTGTAAAGGCTGCGAATATGCGCAGATTATAAGTGCACCCTGAACAGAGCTTTGCAGCAACACTCGTACCCGGTTCCGATAATAAGCCACATTCTGGCTTCCCTGGGGGGAGGGAAGGTGTTCGCTAAGCTTGACTTAGCCCAAGCTTATCAGCAGCTGCCGGTTACACAGGAGGCAGCTGAAGCACAGACTATTGTAACGCACAGAGGAGCGTTCAAGGTGAACCGACTTCAATTTGAGGTCAATGTGGCCCCAGGGATTTTTCAGGAGTTGATGGAACAATTATTAAGAGGGGTACCTGGAACAGTGCCCTACTTTGATGACGTGTTGATCGCAGGAAAGTCTGAAAAAGAACTATTGGTCTGGGTAAAAGAAGTACTGGAACGTTTCCGGGATGCTGTGCTGAAAGTAAAACGGTCTAAGTGTACACTGGGTGTTAACAGTGTGGAGATTTTGGGTTTTTGAATAGATGAGAAGGGAGTACACCCCACTGGCACAAAGGTGGCGGCTATTCAAAATGCCCCCAGGCCAGTCAGTAAAAAAGAGCTCCAGTCATTCCTAGGACTGCTCAATTTTTACCATGCGTTTTTACCACACAAGGCATCAGTGGCAGCACCCTTGCATGCACTTTTACACAAGGACACAAAATGGAAGTGGGGCCAAGCCGAGGAAAAGGCTTTTACAGGTGTTAAAGAACTATTAATGTCTAATGATGTGTTGACTCACTACTACGAGCAAAAGCTACTGATCTTAGCTGCAGACGCTTCACCTTTTGGAGTAGGCGTTGTTTTAAGCCATCTGATGCCTGTTGGAAGTGAAGCGCCTATCGCTTTTTACTCAAGGTCTCTATCTTCATTAGAACGGAACTATGCCCAGATAGATAAGGAAGGTCTGGCATTGGTAGCAGCTGTCAAAAAGTTCCATGATTTTACTTTTGGTAGGAGATTTGTGTTGGTCACAGACCACAAGCCGCTACTGGTGTTTTTTGCGCCCGATAAGCGAACACCGGCCATTGGGCACGTGGATGTGCTCAGCCGCTGCCCCTTGCCCGACCATGGGACAGACCCAGCCCCGGCATGTGAGGTGTTAGCAATTGACGAGCTCCCTCGGGCACCAGTCTCCTCTAAAGAAATCATGGTGCTGACAGCTAAGGACAGCGTGTTGTTCCATGTCCTAAGCTGGGTGTGGAGGGGGTGGCCGGTAGGGAGCCTGGAGCCTGAGTTCAAGCCTTACCGAGCCCGCCAAAAAGAGCTGTAAATTTCCAAAGGCTGTGTATTATGGGGAAACTGGGTGGTGGTTCCCAACAAGCTCCGGGAGAGAGTGCTGGAATCCCTGCATGAGGGACACCTGGGAATGGTACACATGAAGGCGCTAGCAAGGGGATACGTATGGTGGCCTGGGCTAGACACCGAAATTGAGGAGTGGGTACGGGTGTGCATGCCATGCCAACAGGCAAGACCTGAGCCTCCACAGGCTTCCCCTCAGAAGTGGGAATCTACGGGTAAGCCATGGTCTAGGCTACATCTAGATTTTGCGGGGGCCGTACAAGGGCAAATGTTCTTAATTATTGTGGATGCCTGGTCTAAGTGGTTAGAGGTGGTGCATATGCACTCGGCCACTTCTATAGCAGTCATTCATGCGCTACACTGGCTTTTCACAACACAGAGACTGCCGGACGTATTAGTGAGCGATAACGGGCCCCAGTTTACTTCCCAGGAGTTTGCCCAGTTCCTCTCAGACAATGGCATCCGCCATGTTACCTCTGCCCCATTCCATCCCGTGTAAAATGGGCAGGCAGAGAGAATGGTCCGTACAACCAAAGAGGCTCTGAATAAAATGTATGAAGGTGACTGGAGTGTAAAGCTGGGCTCTTTTCTTTTGCGGCAGCACACCACCCCCTGTAGTGCCACAGGCCGTAGTCCGGCTGAGTTATTAATGAGTTATTTGCAGAGCGCAAAGAGACACAAACGAAGGTGTGCATGTATGAAGGGACAAAGTTTTCGCCAGGAAATATGCTGCTGGTCATTCTTGGATTCCTGGGGTGGTGTGCGAAACGATCGGCACAAGAATGTATGTGGTAGAGCTGGCTAATGGCAGGAAATGGCAGCGCCACGTAGACCAGTTGAGAAGGAGATGGGCGAAAGACAGCTCTGACTCTCCGACAGCTGAGTTTCCAGAACATGAGTGTGTGTTCCGACCTCCCGACTTGGAGGTGAGTACTGAAGTACCCAGTACTGTCCCCAAAACAGGGCAGACCCCTGGGTTCGAAGCTGCAACCCCAGACATACCTGACCCAGTCATTATGAAGCCCCTAAGTGACCCACAGTTAAGTTTGCCTCCTGAACCTGCACAGCTCCGCAGGTCTCAGTGTGTGCGGCGAGCGCCATCATACCTAGGTGATTATGACTGCCACGATTTGCATTGTAATGACTGACGGATGTATATTATTGGAAAACGGTGAGTGTGTGTTTAAAAATGTTGTGTTGTCTTAACTTAGGGGAGAGGAATTGTAGTAAATTGAAAAGGCTTACATGAATCGCTGTATTGACTCCCCATGTTAAGCTCAAGCCCGAGTAAGGGTCCTCCGAACCGACATTGCTATTGGTCGCTTCACAACAGCGACCAATCAGGACTGCACCAGTTGCCTGCGAGGGAAAGACTCTAATTGGACGTTATCCGCACAACCTCATTGGTTGTTTATTGTACAGAGGCGTGGCTACGTTAGCCCGGGAATGTTTAAAAGGAGCCTAACTCCCAATGTTAAACTGTTCTGGTTATGACTTAATCAAGCGCTTGTTCGAACCTTCAATAAAGCTGTTCACTTTTGCGGAAATCACTCTCCGGATCTTTGTTAGCGGCGATCTAACAATTAAGACCTCTTTTTTTGTATTGAAGAGAAGTTGACCTCCTTTCATGCACAGGCTCTCTGGCTGCAACTGTCTCAGTCTCTGGTCCTTCTGATTTTCTCCTTAACAACTCTTCCAGCATATCCATTTTACTGGTTCGTTTGTTAAGCTATAACTGTCTCTGTTGTAAAGAGGCATTGATCTCCTATCATTTTAGCTAAGTTAGCTCTTGAGATTCTTCCAGTACTTGCCACAGTTGGAAGATTGGGAGGACAGGAATCAGAAAAGGGTTTCTACATTGATAGATAAAACCTCCCCTGCTTTACTATCTGAAAGCTTCTCTTGCTCTACAAGTGGCTGCACAGCAGAGGAATTGGGAGAGTTTATGTCTCCCAGCTGCTCCAGCAGGCTAACTATTTTCGGTAAGAGGGAAATTTTCACTTACATTTCCAACGTTTAACAGGTCGTCTACACGGAGTTGTTTTGAAGACTTGTGGTAGGTAGTCAGGGAGGAGTCAGCATCTGAGTTATTTCTGGTCCTTTTATTACTTTTGTTGTTCTTCGTTGTCTGCCGCATCCTCAGGGAATAGGCCCAATGGTTTATCACTCCTTATCATGTAAACCTTCCAGGGAGATTTATAACTTCAATTCCCTTGTACAGCAGACCTTCAGAGCAGGCTCAGTGACTGCCCAAGTTTATATGCGAAGCACTTTCAGTTTTCACAATTTGGTTAACAATAAAACAATCTTTCTTTGGCTTGTAATCAGGGAGCTCGTAGTAAGCATTCAAGCCGGGCATTGCCCTGATCACCATATGATTCACTGATTCCTTCATGTTTATGGCAAAGTGAAGAGGATTAAAAGTGCACAGAGCCTCAGGCATATGGGTATGATATAGTTTACACTGCTGTACACTGGAGACCTCTGTGTGTGTACAGTGGGATCTAGCAGCAACTCTGGGGAAAGCAGTCTGGAATTAGGAAAGGGAATCAATTTCACCAAAACACCCAGAATGAAAGTGTTTCCATGCCTTGCTAATGCAGCAGAAAGAATACTGCTCACATGAAAGAGGTTATCATTCTCCTAAATCTGTTTCAAGCTGGGGATATGGTTATGGCTTCCCTACCTTATAATGAGAACACAGTCACTACATTCTGATCTGGAGGGAATTTGGCAGAAACGTAATGCAGGATTGATGTACCTTTTATATTAGGAGAATTCCAGATAATTATACTTCAGGAGGGAACCTAATTGAGCTAGGTCATATCCAGCCCTGATTCATGTGGTTGCAATGCAAGCAACATAAATTCTTGTTATTGACTGATTTGTTAGTGAGCACTGTGCAAGAAAGCTGGTAGCAACATAAATTCTTGTTATTGACTGATTTGTTAGTGAGCACTGTGCAAGAAAGCTGGTATAGGTTTTCCTCATATAATCTCACAGAACATATTTGCATTAATTATTAGCATACTGTACATGCTCAAGATCCTACAAGCTAGGCTTCAACAGTACGTGGATAGAGAACTACCAGAAGTACAAGCTGGGTTTCGAAGAGGTAGAGGAACTAGAGATCAAATTGCCAACATTCGCTGGATTATGGAGAAAGCAAGAGAGTACCAGAAAAATATCTACTTCTGCTTCATTGACTATGCTAAAGCCTTTGACTGTGTGGATCACAACAAACTATGGCAGGTCCTTAAAGAGATGGGAGTACCAGACCACCTCACATGTCTCTTGAGAAACCTGTATAAGGGCCAAGAAGCAACAGTTAGAACCGGATATGGAACAACTGATTGGTTCAGCATAGGAAAAGGAGTACAACAAGGATGTATATTGTCACCTTGCTTATTTAATA